TTAGAATATGGTGTTGTCCATCAGAGCAGTTGCCCCTACAGTCCACAGCAAAATGGTATTGCAAAAAGGAAGAACAGACACATTGTTGAGACTGCAAGAAGCATGACGATCACATCTACAATTCTGGTTCGGTTTTGGGGTGATGCAGTTCTCATAGCAGTATATCTGATTAACAGCGTGCCCTCTCGTATACTTGGATTCAGCACCCCATGCAGTCTTCTTTTTCCTCAGGGGGAGATGTTTCATATTCCTCTCATGGTGTTTGGGTGTGTCTGCTTTGCACATATCCTTGGTCCTCATTGCTCGAAGCTTGATCCCAAGGCAAAGAAGTGTGTCTTCCTTGGATATGCAGAGAATCAGAAAGGGTACTGCTGCTATGATCCAGTCTCTAGGAGCTGATATGTTACCATGGATGTCACCTTTTTTGAATCCACGTACTTCTTCTCAAAGAATCCTTCTCAGGGGGAGTGTTTTGGGGAAGTGAGTCAGCAATCTATTCCTCACCCAGTTCTAGTCCCTGTGTCTACTCCTGTGCTTGACTACCACCCTATGACACCTACCTTGCCACCTCCTTTGCGTTTTGTTTCTCAGCATTACTCACGACAGAGACTTCACAAGGCAGTTGATTCCACTACAGCAGAACTCACACCACTTCCTGTCGATTCCTTGGAGACTCCAGATTCGGCTGACATGGATTCAGGTATTCCTCTTGATCTCCCTATTGCTCTCAGAAAAGGGAAGAGAAAGTGTATTGCTCATTGTATTTCACAGTACTTATCCTATAGTGGACTTTCTCCTTCCTACCGTGTTTTTTTCTCCTCTCTTGATTCAGTGTCTATACCCAAGGGTGTTAGTGTGGCTCTTTCCAAACCTGAGTGAAAGACAGTTATGCAGGAAGAGATGGAAGCTTTGATTAAGAATCAGACATGGGACTTTGTGGACCTATCAGAAGACAAAGAAACAGTTGGATGTAGATGGGTTTACACAGTAAAATATAAAGTAGATGGAAGTATAGAAAGGTACAAGGCAAGACTTGTTGCAAAAGGGTACACACAGACCTATGGCATTGATTACTTAGAGACCTTTGCGCCAATTGCAAAGATGACCTCCGTTCGGATACTTCTTTCTCTTGCTACCTCATACTCTTGGCCCTTGTTTCAACTTGATGTGAAGAATGCTTTCCTAAATGGGGATCTACAAGAAGAAGTGTATATGGATCTTCCTTCTTGTTTTTACAATGATACTGAAAAGGGAAAGGTATGCAGGCTTAAGAAGTTACTCTATGGCTTGAAACAATCTCCCAGAGCATAGTTTGACAGATTCAGAAAGGTCTTGATTGCTTTTGTCTACACTCAGACTCAATCCGATCACACTTTGTTTGTAAAGCGCATGGGATCTTTGGTGTCAGTCCTAATTGTTTATGTGGATGATATTGTTGTCAC